ATCTTAGAACGTGGAAGAACAACTTGTTACTCCCTACAAAGAATATCTCTGAAAAAAGACAAATTAAAAATCTCGTTAATATTCGTCGTCACACCTTTTAAAAAATTTACAAGTCGTATGATTTCCAATTCTATACCACTTACGTTATTTTCAAATTCCTCGAACTATTAACCCTTTGCATTCGAGTGGCGACTCCGAGGCACCGCTAAATTTTGTTACATGGCGTTCTAAGATAATTTTCATATCGACAAAGTTTAGATTCAAAGAAATTGTTTAAAGCGTAACACAATTTCAGGACCATCAAATGCACTTTGTCGTATAAAATGGAAATACTATATATAAGTCAGAAAAATTATTTTAGATTCACGGTTGAAATAGCTTCGAGTGCAAAGGGTTGAGATCGAAAATCAATTTCTGTTTAATTCGTATCTCGTTAATATTCGTCGTCACACTTTTTACAATATTTACAGGTGCTATGATTTCCAATTCTAGACCACTTACGTTATTTTCAAATTCCTCGAACTATTAACCCTTTGCATTCGAGTGGCGACTCCGAGGCACCGCTAAATTTTGTTACATGGCGTTCTAAGATAATTTTCATATCGACAAAGTTTAGATTCAAAGAAATTGTTAAAAGCGCAACACAATTTCAGGACCATCAAATGTACTTTGTCGTATAACATGGAAATACTATAAGTCAGAAAAATTATTTTAGATTCACGGTTGAAATAGCTTCGAGTGCAAAGGGTTGAGATCGAAAATCAATTTCTGTTTAATTCGTATTTCCGCGCTGTCCACGCAGGAAATGTTCACGAAAGGAACGAATGTTTTCGAAAGGAGGAGCCGAAGCACGTCTCCGACGATTCGCGTATCAATCTCCCGCATTCGGCGCGGAGAATTTGCATCGGAGCGACGAAAGAGTGCAAGCCAATTTGCGATTGGCAAACCGAAAGCGCATACGTTCCATTTCCAGGCAGCTTCGAATCGCGTCACGAAAGCGAACAGAAACCCGTCTGAATTTAATTAACCGAGATTATTCGGAATCGGCTTCCATGGGAGACGGCCAATACGCGGAGCGTAAAAAAGCTCTCGCGAGCAGGTCGCCGCGTTTCTTCGATCGCGGAGGATCGGCTCGAATTTCGTTCGAGCGCGTTTTCTTGCCATCGACGATGCAAAATGGCGACGAGGCGCGCGGATGCTGCGAGAATTAGTGACGCGCTCGCTGACCCGTTCAATTAAATCGGCCGAGCACGAGCTCAAGGAAGCCGTGGGTCATTGATATGCGAACGGAGCGAAGACCTTGGCGATCTCGTCACGGCTCTGTTCCGTTCTGACGAATCGCAATCACGTGTCGCACGTTTGCATGCAGGCTTCGCCTCGTTTTCTACGATCCAGGAGAGGACCTACGGCGAATTCTTAACGTCCAGACAATCCGCGAGACAAACTGACCCATTTCGCCGCGTCCTCTCAACGAAATTGTTCAACGCGTTCGCTCAGCCCCGCGGAGGTTCATTCTAATTAGTTCGTTCACAACTGGGGTCGCCGGAGGGTCTCGAGCGGTTGATTCAGGAATTTGTTCTTCTGTGGGAATTTGTTCAGTGGATTTATTCGTTTGCCGCAATAGGAGACAATTGAAATCTCCATAAATGCATTTTTATCATTCGCTTTCGTCTCGTGGTGCTTGTTAGTTGAGACAGGCTCGAGTGGCAGCAGTCGCACTAAACTCTGTTGAATGTTGAGTTATCGGTTTTCTTTCCAGTAAAACGATGGTTATACCGTTTTACAATATAATGTATTGCTTTATGCAAAGTTTCGTTTAAAAATGTTCCTCGCAAGCGCATAAGGATGTGTGCATAAAAATACAAACAGTTTAGCGATGACTAGACCGCGGATCTTAACGCAAAATATATATTGTCAAGGTTATTTGTACATGAATCGAATGAAAATATGTTTCTTCTTTTAGTAATCGTAATAAGTTGAAAATAGTGTAACCTTAAATTCTTTTAGCTTTTTTTAAGCTTTTTTTAGCTAATTAATATTTATTTATTTCATATTTTATATAATTTATATTTAATATATATTTATTTATTATTTATTTAATTAGCCTTTTTTTAGCTTTTTATTCGTTTCCCGTCATTTTTATCATGAATGCATAAAATCCGCAGTCTAGATAATACGTTCGGAATGTTACTAAAAATGTCCTTGTACCGTATTGCATCGATTCGGAGACAAGGATGTTTTGCGAACCTGGATTTTAAGGAATGGTATTTCTCCCAACTGTGTAGAAATTTTATCATCCAAAGATCCAAAGATACCGCAAATCCGTGGAATCCGGGATCGATATATCGCAATAAACATCGCGTCGCGACTCGAGGAATGTGTTCGAGCAATTGTGATGGGTAATTAAGGACCAGTCAACTTAGCCGCGGTTTGCTCCTGGAATTAGCGAAAGCCATTGCCGGAAGCTATTTAATAGGCCTCTTAGTCACGAGGATTAGCAGCCGAGAACCTGTTAACGAATTTTTACCTCTCTAGTCTCTGTACTTCTAAAAGCGCGAAGTAATCGGTCAGTTCGAAGAAAACAATTTCGTCTTCGAACAATCGTTTCGATCGACTTCGAAACAGCAACGCGCAAGCACTTCGCCCATCGAAACATAGAACATTAATAACATGTTTTGCGAGAATAGCGACCGCATCTCTCGAAATCAACGATTTATCTGAATTAATACGATCCGACGATTCCTCTCGAGATTATTATTTAAGAGGAAGTCATCGAGCTCTGTCTACATATAACGCGGTCGTTAAAGAAAACCTATTAATTGGCTTCCGGTATTTAAAGTGTTAATAGGATGAGGAGCTGTTGACGCATCCTGCCAGCCGCGAGTCCCAGGACTCTTACGAACTACGACGAGAAGAACGTAATTATTAGAGGCTGATGATCTTTATGCAAATTCTCACGTTCGTTAATCATTTTCTAAATATCTAAAGAGAGGACAAATTTCTTATGTCGAGCAGACTGTTCCCTCACGGTGAACACGGAATAATAACGCAATTTATTTTCGTCGGTATTCCGGTTTCCTTGCGCCGTAAATGCATAAAGAACAGCAGTCTAGTAATTATCTGCATCTCCGACCCGCGTTTCGTCTTCTGGCGCAAGGAACATAAAAAAGCATTATTTTTCAAATCGTCCCTCATAAATTCTACCATGAATTTAGTAGTCGTGAAAAAGATCGGCAAAAGATAGGAGCTCGTTTTAATTGGAGAAAATTGGAAGATCGAGAAGATGCGGAGGCCGCGGGGCTTTTAAAGGATCCCCAGGCTTCTGGTGGTTGTCCGATCGCTTTGTTTAGCGAGCAACAACAAGATGGTCGCAACCGACGAGGCTGAATCACTTAAAAAACAAGCAACCACTCTGTGTCAACGTAGATACACCGTATCTTGCTCTTTATCTTAACTCCGTCAGCTCGTTTACGCGCTGACAAATGCTAGCTTGCAGTTCGCCAGCTGAGGAATTCTCCTACGATAACTGGAATGTAATATTCCCCCCCGTGCTCCCGATATTCTCGGAACATATGTCCCATTTTTTTTTCCTTTCAGGAAGCGCGACAGCCGATTTTTGTCAGTACTCCGTTATCTCGCACCTAATGCGTTACGAATTATCTTCGCGGTGACGACACCGCGCGAGTTTATTCGACTGTGCACACTGATTTTGCAATTCGTCTGGTTGCGATCCGCGAGAACCCGCCTTCTCGCAGCCATTTTGGAGAGCGCAGTTCGGCGCAGAACGGTTCGAACCCGTTCGATTTAGCGTTAAAAAATTTCGCGACAGCACGCACGGCAACTTTTCGTGCCTCGTTATTGCGAAATACTTTTATAATCATGTCATTATCGCACATGTGTTGCAAGTAGCTTAATCAAGTGTTCAATGGCGTAACGATAGCGTATCAGCGGCGAATTATGAGTCAGTATCTCGGAAATCGGTATTCGATCTGCCAGGACAATAACTTTGCCGAGCACAAGAGTTCTCAGGCTAGCGGATATCGATATTAAAGGGCAATAAATAACTTTAATTTAGCCATCTTTCAATTTTTCCAGGCAAGCTGGAAAGTAGTTTCGTCACAAGACATGTTACTTAATTTACAACGAGGAAACAATTTATTGTGTACCATCGATCAGACTTCTTTTGATAAAAATTTCGTATAAATTCTATTCGCTTTTGCGTCTTTTTATGCTTAAAAATATGGAGTGCGTAAAATGCACGCGACTTTCAATGATTTCATTGAACTTCAGAGGTCGATTGAGTTATAAGCTTGAAAACTATAGGCTAGTCATCGATTAATCCTGAGTAATATGTCGAATAAAATTTTATTCGAGAAATATTTCTAATGAATTCTTCGAATAAAATTTTATTGGAAAACTATTTTTAATAAATTTCTCGCATAAAATTTTGTTCGAGAAATATTTCTAATAAATTCTTCGAATAAAATTTCATTGGAAAACTATTTTTAATAAATTCTTGGAATAAAATTTTGTTCGAGAACTATTTCTAATAAATTCTTCGAATACAATTTTGTTCGAGAAATATTTCCAATAAATTCTTCGAATAAAATTTGATTCGAGAACTATTTCTAATAAATTCTTCGAATAAAATTTGATTCGAGAACTATTTCTAATAAATTCTTCGAATAAAATTTGATTCGAGAACTATTTCTAATAAATTCTTCGAATAAAATTTGATTCGAGAACTATTTCTAATAAATTCTTCGAGTAAAATTTTATTCGAGAAATATTTCTAATAAATTCTTCGAATAAAATTTTGTTCGAGAACTATTTCTAATAAATTCTTCGAATATACAATTTTATTCGAGAAATATTTCAAATAAATTGTTCGAACCAAATTTTATTCGAAAAGTATTTCGAATAAAGTCATATTCGAACAATGCCGAACTCTATGAAAATACCGCCGAATAAAATTAACTTGGCTTCCTGTTTGATTGCAGGCTGAATCGGAAGTTGCTGCCTTGAACCGCCGTATCCAACTGTTGGAGGAGGACCTCGAGAGATCCGAGGAACGTCTCGCCACTGCCACTGCTAAATTGGCAGAGGCGTCCCAGGCCGCAGATGAGAGCGAACGGTAAACGACGCCGCATTATCATCTTCGTTTCTCCTCGATGACGAGGGCTGCCGCGCGTCCGACGTAATTTTTATAAATACCCGGCTCTGTCCCCCTTAATGAGCAACTTCTCAATGGGTATTTATAAAGAATGTCTGCAGGCTCACGCCGGAGACGTGTGCCCGTTCTCTGAATGGGCAGATAATAGCGGCCGTGGGACTTATCGATTCAAGAAGAGCAGAGAGTTCGTGCACTTTCGTCCGTCGTCCCGGCGGATTCGCGTTCCATGTAACATTGGAAAAGTTGCATCGCTCACAGAGACAAGGTTGCATTCTGCAACGCAGAAGAATACAGCTTCGCTTCGTGCCGCACCATTTTGTGCAGCGTGGCCTGCACAGACATGGGCGCCGAAGCGACAACNAATTTCTCGCATAAAATTTTGTTCGAGAAATATTTCTAATAAATTCTTCGAATAAAATTTCATTGGAAAACTATTTTTAATAAATTCTTGGAATAAAATTTTGTTCGAGAACTATTTCTAATAAATTCTTCGAATACAATTTTGTTCGAGAAATATTTCCAATAAATTCTTCGAATAAAATTTTGTTCGAGAAATATTTCCAATAAATTCTTCGAATAAAATTTGATTCGAGAACTATTTCTAATAAATTCTTCGAATAAAATTTGATTCGAGAACTATTTCTAATAAATTCTTCGAGTAAAATTTTATTCGAGAAATATTTCTAATAAATTCTTCGAATAAAATTTTGTTCGAGAACTATTTCTAATAAATTCTTCGAATATACAATTTTATTCGAGAAATATTTCAAATAAATTGTTCGAACCAAATTTTATTCGAAAAGTATTTCGAATAAAGTCATATTCGAACAATGCCGAACTCTATGAAAATACCGCCGAATAAAATTAACTTGGCTTCCTGTTTGATTGCAGGCTGAATCGGAAGTTGCTGCCTTGAACCGCCGTATCCAACTGTTGGAGGAGGACCTCGAGAGATCCGAGGAACGTCTCGCCACTGCCACTGCTAAATTGGCAGAGGCGTCCCAGGCCGCAGATGAGAGCGAACGGTAAACGACGCCGCATTATCATCTTCGTTTCTCCTCGATGACGAGGGCTGCCGCGCGTCCGACGTAATTTTTATAAATACCCGGCTCTGTCCCCCTTAATGAGCAACTTCTCAATGGGTATTTATAAAGAATGTCTGCAGGCTCACGCCGGAGACGTGTGCCCGTTCTCTGAATGGGCAGATAATAGCGGCCGTGGGACTTATCGATTCAAGAAGAGCAGAGAGTTCGTGCACTTTCGTCCGTCGTCCCGGCGGATTCGCGTTCCATGTAACATTGGAAAAGTTGCATCGCTCACAGAGACAAGGTTGCATTCTGCAACGCAGAAGAATACAGCTTCGCTTCGTGCCGCACCATTTTGTGCAGCGTGGCCTGCACAGACATGGGCGCCGAAGCGACAACAAGCGACTTTGAAATTTCATTTTCTAACTTTTCCATACTTGGACGTTACGCGCGGAATTATGCTGGGACATTTCGAGGATAGAGATAGTTTAGAAAATAACTTTTTAACGGGGACCATGAGTTCGTACGAGTTGGGAAACTATATAGCGAAAGCTGTGGGACACTTTATTTAGAGAAAGTTACGATCGATTTCGTATTAATTACAATTGAATAGATAGGTTGTAGGTCATCGAACAATGGGACGTTAAAGGGGATATTAATAATGTCCTTTCCATCTTTTTTGCTCGAGCGATAAATTATTCTCGATGGTTCTCGCCGCTATTATCTACCCAGCAGGAGCCTAAATCGTGCATCGCTTTCAGTTTGCTTCGCCGAGGTTGTTGCAAAGGAAACGCTTTCTTCGACAAATTACTGTTCGCAAGGAAAATCGATAGCCGATTTGAAAACTAATTTATCGCAACGTATTTAGTTATGCGATTCTTAGGAGACGCTGATAATAATTCACTTAACGATCGAGCGTTTAACATCATTTTTTTTCCTTAAGAAACGATGAATTATTTCTTTAACGATAATCAATTATTTCTTCGGCAGTAATAGATTGTTTCTTTGACAACAACTTCGGCAGAAAGCGTTCAAGAAAGTGTTACAGATTCGTGTGAACTAGCCACGGAATCGAAGTTAGCATCGGACGTTCGAAGAAGTCGAGTCGAAAGAACACGAGTATCCTCGAAATTAAGTATCCCGATGAGATTTATTAATAAATCGCCGCACAGTATCGCGTTATAATCACTCGGAAAAGACTCGCAGTTATCTAATAATCGAACGTAGGCACAGGCGCGATTTGTCCTGGGGAGGGAGAGGACACGAGGCCACCAGGCAGAGCGGTAATTACCGATTTTACACGAGGTGGGCGTTTAATTAGAAAATGATGTAAACACTGCCTCGACGTTAAATTCAATATCGTTCGCGATTCATTATACAAATTACTGCAAATTTTCTTCCTTGGATTCTAAATTAGACTCGCTGCAAATAGAGAGAGAGAGAGGAGAGAGAGAGAGAGAGAGAGAGAGAGATTCTCTTGTTGATCAATTGACTGAGAAAAATGCAAATGTCGGTTCTCAATGCTTATCAATTATTTATCAACTTGTCGCAAGAAACGAGATTAGAAATTCGTTCTCTCCTTCGATAATTTCAATATGTTGTTTTAATTTTCATCGAATCGTTTCTTTCATAAACCGATCAAATTCGCAATCTATGGATTAGTCTTTTGACAGTACAGAATTTCGTGTCGAATAAGAATAAGATAACAAGAAAAAAAGCGAAGACGGCGATGTTAGGTGCGTCCTCCTTTCGCTCCGACTTCGATCGAACGTCAGAACGCTGTTTATCGATGGTACTAACCTTTCGACGTTGAAAGAACTCCGAGATTACGGTTCCGAAATTCTCCGTTGCGATTGTTAACCGGACCGATAAGGATCGTCGTTTATCGGGGCTGGTTTGAAGTCCTGTCGTGGATCTGTCGCGATCGTGCGCGCATACGCAATGCAGTGTCGACACGCGGTTTTATCGCGGTTGATAAGAGCACGATCTGGTTGCGGCTTCTTGTCACAAGGAAGCTCGATTCCTTCTCGTCTGCTTCCCGATTCTCGCGCTGGAAAACCAACGCGCTCTACGAGATCCTTTAAAAAACTTCGTGGAAACTTTTTCCGTCGTCGTCCTAACTTCTCGGCGACTGCGAAACCAGCCGCGTTCAAGATCAAATTAGTTTTTCCAATGAAAAATCCTCTCGCGGTTAAGCTTGTACCGAATTCTCAGCTTTTCTTTTTCCGCCGGCAACGAATCGAAATTGTTACAAGACGGTTTTCCAAATTAAGACCGAGAATATTCTTAAGTTCGTATTTCTTTCAACGACGATTATGTAGACGCTAAATCTCGAATGATAATCGATCGCTAGGATACGCAAGGCACTCGAAAACCGTACCAATATGGAGGACGACCGGGTATCCTTGCTGGAGCAGCAGCTAGCACAGGCTAAACTGATCGCCGAGGAGGCGGATAAAAAATACGAGGAGGTGGGTTAATTGCGAAACAGGGCGATTGTCTATTCGCCACTTGTTCGAGCAAATTACAAGTTGTTTTAACGAACCGGGCGTCGGATATATATTAGAGAAGCAATTACGCCAAACGATGTTTAATAGAAGGCGAACACAAGGCGCCTAATTACATTAAACAAATTGTTATTTAAATTATACCGAATTATTAGTTAAATAGTTGTACACGGATCGTTGAATTTTTCTTGGCAACGGTTGGAGCCTTCGCGACGCTTCTCTCGAACGAAAACAAAAGAACTCGTTCGGAAATAATTTGCAGCGATTAATTCGATACGTGAAAGTATGAAATACGGTATTTTCTCCGTAGCGTCGCATTCTAGCGCGCGCCATCTTGCCAATTACGAAGTCGCAAGAAGTCGCTGTCAATTAGCGTCCACTGCTTTCGAACATACTCGTTCTATTTTCCAAGCCGCGTTCGCAATAAATATTACAACTTATCAATCCATATAGCGGAAGACTGGATTGCTTCTTCTATCTAATTCTTACCGCCGGACACGTTCGAGTTCAAAATGCTTTCTGGAATGAAAACGAGCCGAAGATGTCTCGTTAGCTCTCCGAGCGAAAAGAATATCGTTTATCTCTGAAATTAGCCGAGGTTCGTTAAAAACCGCTCGCGAATTCGCTCGAACGGATGCAATTTGCAGGTGTATAGGTCACGTTTGGCAGGGTAGCAGAGCGGCGCGGTCACTTCCGGAGCAGCCGAGCGTTAATTTAAGTCTCCAGCCGATTTCGATTCTCTGTACGCCGTAACGTTAATCCCGATTCTTTTGTGGTAATTATTAAAGAGCCCGCAAGATTCTCGAGAATCGCAGCTTGGCCGATGAAGAGCGCATGGACGCCCTCGAGAATCAGCTGAAGGAGGCCAGGTTCCTCGCTGAAGAAGCTGACAAGAAATACGATGAGGTTCGCGAGCCCACGGGCCTCACGCGTGCTGGCTGCAGTGACAATGATAACGATAAACATAACGATCACGGCGACGAATGGTCTCTAGTTGATGGTCGCGATAATAGTGCCTAACCCCGTAACTCTCTGTCTTCTCTCTGTGTGCTCGAAAAACCACCGTGATTTAAAAAAAAATGGCCCGGCGAGACGAACCCGCCTTTCGCGAGCATTTCTCGATCCGTCGAAACGACAGAACCGACGAGATTATTATACGCCGGCGGCGAACCAGTTCGGTTCCCCGTCGTCGCCCCATCGAACCGTTAAACAAATCGAAACGAAAGTGAATCGGATCGAGGGAAGTCGTGAGTATAAATACCGATCGTCTGTGATTTTCGTCGAGCAAAGTGAGTCGACCTTTCGAAGTAAGTGCAGTGTTCACGCGGCCCGGAGTCCGCGAAATTTCAAAATATTTCCGAGCAGAATAATCTGCTATAGATGAGCACATATACACATATATGTACATACATACATATATATTTGAGAAAAGAAGCAATTTAGCCATCGAGTAAAAGTGGTGATACGCGCGTAGATATCAGTGTCACGTGTCTTTCGAGCGCGACTTAACGTAGGACTATCGTATATCTGTGATTTCCAAGTGTTTGTCCGAGGAACAAAGAGGACGATACGATTAAAGAGAGTATATTGTATATATATATTATATATAGATAATAATATATACATGTATTATTATATGTATATATTATATATATTGCATAAGCTACAAGTATACGTATAAGTTTCTCAAGTGCCAGTTTCGTAACGAAAAGTTCAGAGAGAAAAATTCGAGAGAATTTCGTTCCATTTGATAGCAGTTTTTTCACCGCGACTAATCATCCCTCGGTAAAGTGGACGTCGCCGGTCCGTGTGGTTCGGTCCGTCTTTACCAGAAACTGGCCTCCATTCGAGTTTATGGTTAACTCCGTGTTGTGATACGCAGAATGGGACCTGGCTTTGGGTCCCGATGCATTAATGGTGCTGCTTTTGTCCAAAGACCTTCCCCCGTTCTCGCTTTTTTTGCCGGAATTTCGGACACTTGCTCCGAACTCTCCGCACCCGAATCCATCCGTTATGGTAGGTGGAGTCGCATGATCGCGCCGGAGTTACCAGAAATGTCGGACTGCGGATATTTGGGCCCAATTCAAACTCTTTTCCGTGTCGGACGTCACTCACCCGCTTTGATAACCTGTAACACATCGTTGTTCTCTCGATCTTTTCATTGTGCTAAACCTACTACTAATTTTAGCCACGAATGCACAAAATCCGCAGTCCGATTGTCACGAGCTATTCGCATTCCAAACTGTTCTCTCATCTTTTGCAATCTTTACAAGGAAACGTAATTGGCAATACGATCGAGTCCCAGATTTAATACTGGAACTACCAAAACCGGCCAGAATGACTGGATTCTGACTTTTTCTTTTAGTTTCCGATATTATAGAAATATATCTAGGAGAAATTTTTATATATTACAATATAAATCATACGAAATTTAAATAAAACTAGTCTTGCCGTTACAATAATGTTTCCCTAATTGACGCCCAGATTGCGCTCAAAAATGGGCAATTTGGGAAGAGAAGATACGATTATTCGAGCCTTGCGGTTTATTTTTATAGTTATAAATTGTCCACAATTATAAAAACGAGCCGCTACGAATCGAATAATCGTATCTCCTCTTCCCAAATTGTATTATGAAATAATATACAGGATGTCCCGAAAATGTCTCGTAATCCGGAAATGGCGAATTCCTTAGGTTATTTGAAGTAACTTTTTCCTTAGCAAAAATGCAAACCGCGGCTTCGTTTACGAGTTATTAATGAAAAACGCCAACCAATAAGAAGCGAGCTCTGCTGACGCGAGGCGGCCGAGTCAACGAGCGCGCGAAACCCAGCTCCGCACATTGGCTCGGCCAAAGGGATTCGACCGCTGGCGCCGTTGGCTCGGCCGGCTCGCACCAACTGAGCTAGGATTCGACCGCTCGACCGCTGGCGCCGTCGGCTCGGCCGGCTCGCGGCAGCTGAGCTGGGATTCGACCGCTCGACCGCTGGCTCGGCCACCTCGCGGCATCTGATCTCGTCTTTCATTGGTCATTGATTTTCGTTGATAACTCGTAAACGAAGCCGCGGTTTGCATTTTCGCTAAGGAGAAAGTTGCTTCAAATGATCTCAGGAACCCTCCATTTCCGGATTACGAGACATTTTTGAGACACCCTGTAGACTGGTCCCGTCAAAACCTCTCGGTAGTTCTGGCGTTAATTCCGAAACGATGCTTCCGCTCGAAATTCTTAAATCAACTCATTCGTTGTATCTATTAAAAAGTAATTTCAGTAACCAGTCGCCACGACTGCTCGATCGTTCCAGCGTTAATTATCAGATCGCGGATACAAATTTCCATGGAAATCAGAATCGAAAACGCGCAAGACTTGGAAGAAGAAAATGCACCGATGTTCCATCGGTTTTCCACGCATTTTGAAATTCCGCCACGGCCGTTTTCGTTGCGGAAACCGCGGAAGCCGCGATCTGGCAATTGCACGCGTTACTTTCGGTGCACCTCGCGAGTTGCTCGATTATACTTGTAGATTTCGATGCCAGTGTTTATCGCGGCGGAAGATCGGGGCGAATTACGTGCCGGGGACTCGACTGTGCACCGTCGATCACCGGAGAAATTCGGTTTCCACTCGACGAAATCAAAATTACAATACGAAGCCGCGGTGTTTCGTGGAACGACGAGGCCCCGAACGTTTTACGGTCCCGGCACACGTGATATTAACACAGTTGGTAGCGTTTGCCGGACAGAAAAGAAAGCTCCGGGCAACGTGAAAACGGAGAATCGTTCGGTGTTTCGTGCCACTTGTGTTCCACGGTTTCACTAAAATCGATACACCAATGGTTATCTAGTCCTCTCAAGTTTCACGGAATTCGAAGGATCGTTCCTCCGGTAACTTCGACGCCGATCTAAAAAAAAACGAACCGATCTTCGCGAACCACGTTCGCTCTCGACGATCCCCGGAAATCGTCTTCTTGTTCTCTTTCTTTTTTTGTATTAACATAGATCTGTCGATGTTAACCCTGCAGCGTGAGCTGGTTAATCAACGTTTTGATTTTGCAGTGCGGTGACGAACGTGTCGTTTGCTTGTGATAACCGTTTTAACAAATTATTGCAGAGAAAACCGTCCGGGCCGAGAGCTAACAGCAACCGAGTGTTGTGATCATTCCTTTCCTTTTAGTTCTCTTCTATCGATAATCGCTTATCGTTCGCCGGCGATGCGCGAGCGTTACGCAAATCACTCGTTAAATGGCAAATTTATTCCGGTTACGTCACCGGGATTGCTGACCGGTGAAAACGTTCACTTGGAACGTCCTTCTCCGCTTGTAGTGGACGGACGAATCATGCTTCTGGCCCTTGGTCGTGGAGAAACTCCGTTTTATTCAGGAAATATTTCTGTGTTACACGAGATCGCTATCTCTGGCATTGATTCATGAATGTCGGAACGTCGGAGCCGAGAACATGCGCACACGAATTCACCGCGAAATTTCAGCGGTAAATTCGTTTCGTTCGTATTTCACGCAGAAAAATTGCCGCAGTTCCATTTTCATTAAGCTCTAATCGATTTTCATTGTCTCGACAAGTTTCCGGTGCGCTGCAAATTAAAATCGATTCATCGATACGACGGAAATGGATATTGAACGCGTCAATCGACGCGTCGTTCGAGCCCAATTGTCAAAAACTCGAGGGTTAACCGCCCTCGAAAGTTCCACAGCCGCGCAGCGTTCGCTCCCCGACAATTAAAAGTCTTCAATTAGCCGGCAATAGAGCTCCGACGAGAAACTAACTCCGACGTTCTCCACAAACGGAACCAAGTGCACTATCGACGGACCGCATTATGTCGATAATATCTCAACGTCGACGGCCAAAGGGCAGCTGCATCGATAAATTCGTTCCGAGGAGTCGATCGAGCTCCCATTTGTCCGATACCTTCCATTAAAGCTGCACGAAGCATGCCGGGCTTGGTCGAGGGAGGGGGAGAGCTATCAGGAAATTCATTACCGAGTGAAATTGACGGGATTTTTCCGAGGGAGGGTTGCGTCACGCTCGCGGCGTCTGTTACATGCATGATCGCCGTGGACGAGCAGCGAGAGAGCCGCGCGATCGACGCCGGAGCCAATCGGCAGGCTATTGATTTCGAGGTCGACGCGGATTCCACGATTTTTTTTCTGCGGCGACCTCGGTCCTGCTTCGTGTTTTCCCTCGGCTTCGTGTCGATCGCCGGCTCCGAGAAGCTAGCGGAGTCGTCTTTTATCTGCTTGGCCAGTCCTCGCGAGATCCGCTCCGCGACTCGAGCCCAGTCGCTTCGATTAGGATTATCTGCGGTTCGTGCTCGCCAGTCAACACACCGTCTTCAGCATCGAGCTGCTCCATCCTCGTCCTTCCATTTTGTTTTGCCACCTTATCGGTCTCCCTTCAGTTTGTTCTTCCATTTCGTCATTTTTAATTTGATGTTTCATTTTGTATCTCAATTTTATTCTTTTATATTGTCCTTCTATACATTCGTTTAACCATTATACTTCATTCTACCTCCTCATTTTGCCCTTAAATTTTGTTCTTTCATTTTGTCCTTTCAATTTGCTCTTCCATTTGGTTTCCCAATTTTGTTCTTTTATATTGTCTTCCTATACATTCGTTTAGCCCTTATACTTCATTTTACCTCCTCATTTTGACCTTAAATTTTGTTCTTTCATATTGTCCTTTAAATTTGCTCTTCCATTTGGTTTCTCAATTTTGTTCTTTCATCCTGTCCTTTCATTTTGTCCTTCAATTTTGGTCTCCCATTTCGTCTTTCCATCTTATTGTTGCATCTTGTCATTCCATTTGCGCCCTCGTAAAACAAAATCGCCCCCTACGGCATCTTATAACTATAGCATCGTAAATGACTATAGCAATAGTCTTCAAGTTTCATAGGCATCGCGCAGCCCTTTATCAAAACGGTGGACGCAAAATCCACAGAGCATCGTGTCGTTCGATTTCGTTGCCCTATTGTATACTTTCGTGCGAGAGAATGGTCATCCGTAGTTCCTGCGATCGACGACCATAACCCTAGGATTCGAGTTTCACCGGTATTACAAGCCTTTATCGCGAATGTAGACACGTCCACCGCGCATTCCTCTCTTGTTCACACAGCGAACAAAGCTCGTTTCGCGGGCACAGGCTCCTCTAGTCCAATATTTGCGATTCCATCGCGAAGAGTATTGTTAACCTAACCCAGACCTAACCCCCCGAGGGGCCTGTTCACCGATGGAGATGTTTGCGATGGAATGCGGCGGATCCCGCGACAGTGGAAGTAGAAACCGCGATTCTTGTGGACTTGCCTAGTTTGTCGATTCTTGAAGGGGAATTCACGAGACACGGATCCGCAATGATGCGACGATAGCGATTCATGGCTCGCGGTACATTCTTATTGAATCGTACGATCCTCTGTTTGAGCTTTTAACTCGAACGGAGTTTGCGCAGTTCTCTTTGTTTATTCTGCCGACGAAAAATTGTTCCGATTGTTCCGCGGTCTTATCTTATCCGCGATGTTCCTTCGGCTTTCCGTTAGACCGTGTACTATTGCAATAACCGGTGGGAAAGAAGAATCGTTGCTCTAATTATACACTGTCCTCGTTACGAACAGTACAGGTCTTCGTGATTTAAGAATCACGTAAAATCGTTCCTAGATTTGTCAGAACTCCGTCATCAAACTTCGACAATCCGAAACATTCGCGGAGACTAGTTCCGTTTGCCGAATTCCTCCGAAGCAGCCAAAATAATTAATTACCCCAGAAAATACAGAATCGCCAACTCGAATCCCCGCGAAACAATTCAAGTTCGTTTCCCAGAGAAGAGATCAGGATCAAGATCTCCGACCGATCTCTGTCGCATCTCTGTACGCTTCGTTCTCTGTTCCCAGCAACCTTCGCGGCCACTCTTGAATAATCAAAGCAATTCCACTAATAAAATCACACAGCTCCCAGCATACCGTCAGCTTCCTGTCGCCTATCTCTAAAACTCCGACACATCCGATATTCCGCGAAACGCCTAAGGAATCTGGGAGCACGATCGCGATAAAGGTGTCCCGACGGGAAAAACTCGAGCCGTCCGGCGGTCGGACGTATAAGGAGCGGAAACGTCTCCGAGGATCGCGGATTCCTCGAGCGGCGGAGCGGCTCCGAGGCGGAATCGTCGATCCGAGCCGCGAGGCCCGATGGCTGGGATCGTCGATCTTGGCCCAGATACTGGCGACACGGCTAGAGAAAGAGGCTGGATAGGCCGATGGGAGAAACGAAACACGCGATCACGAGGAGAAACCGTTTCTGTATGTGTCGTTTACACAGGTCGCCCGTAAATTGGCCATGGTTGAGGCCGATCTAGAACGCGCCGAGGAACGTGCCGAGGCCGGAGAGTCGTAAGCATCATTTTCAAAGAGAGTTCCTTACCCCGGACCCCCCGATGCACAACAACCCCACGTGCCAAGCGAGTTTTCCGACCCCGAATTCTGCTGATCGCACCTTTTCCCCCGTCTTTAGGACGCGCTGCACAATCTCACCCCCACCCCCCTCTAACACGCTCACGCGCCAAGGTGTTCCATAACGTTACTTTCTGTTTTTTGCGGCATTAATATCCCAGATCTTTAGCTAATGAGAGTTCGCACTGCGATTGTTCCTAGAAAGCGATTGAGAGTTGCTGTTGTTCTATCTTTCGGTGGCCAAAGGGCAGCTTCGAGATCTTGCCTTACCTAAACGGATCCGGACCTGTGAATTTAGATCTTCAAAATATGGATCGATGACACGCGCGATTTAACCCTTAGCGCTCTGCGCGTTTCTCGACTTCAGCAACTTCGGCACATGTTTGGAGCGGAGCGCCTGGGATAAAGGAAGTCTTATTTTCAGCGGAAAAGATTACACGTCCTTGCGAATGCATTTGATTTCATTTATTTTATAAATATACATTTTCCTATTGTAAATAAAAGATAAATTTTAAATTTTGTGATTCACCATGGTGCGATATCTTTGGTAACAATCTCCCATGTGCATTCTGGGTTTACTTGGACAAGTGTCACAGTATTCACTTTGCCAAATATTGTTACTAGATATTTCTTTCAAGTTTAGAACATTTTCCGCGTAATTGTTGGTTTCCTTTATAATTTCATTAACCAATTCGTCCGTGAAAAATAATTTAAAATATTGTATCGGCTGTTCAATGTTTGTAGGAACTTGTGGTCCGATGACCTGTGGCAATACACTAAAAGGTATTCTATCTGGAATATGTAATTCTTCCGTAACATCGCGCCATTCATCCAAGTCTTGTAACGAATCTTCGCTTTCACTTTCAATAATTCTCATTCTTCGTCTCTTTGGTAGTATAATTTCGCTACTACTACTCGAAGTGTCAGAATCATAACCAACATTGTCTTCCACAATGTCTTTTAACTCTTCAAAATCAAATACGTCTTCGGTATCACTCGGCTCTAAATTCTCATCGTAATATTTATTTTTCTCCATGTTGCTAACCATAGAAAAGGTCAAAAAATGGTTTAATCGTAATGGTACGGACTTCGCACGTTTTAACTACAGATAACAATTGCTAACGCCGACGACAACGTATGCTAAAAACATTTAGCTTCGCAGCGGAGTCTTCGGAGTTACGGATCAAATGACAAATGTCTCCGTAGCGGAGCCTTCGGAGCGCTAAGGGTTAAAAAAAGTTTAATTGAATAAACTTGAATTTAAGTGTAACAGCAGTTCGCTATCGGAAAGAATTTCTAGAATTGCTAGCTCGATAGGCGGTGAGATTGGTTCGATGGAGGATCCGAGGGTTGGAGGAAGCGAATTATCCCTTTGGCCACTCGTCCAAGAGAATAGAGCCCATAGAAATAGTTCACCGAAGTACGCAGTCGTTCTCAGTCATTCTCTTGGACAGCCAAACAGGTTTTCAGAGCGCGGACTCGGCGATGTTTCGAGCGGATCAAGGACAGACATGGAGCCCGGCGATGCTGTTCAGGACACGTTTGCATGAGACCGATATCATTTCCGTTCGATTTCTTTCTTTCGTAATGTTTCTCGTGTGATTTTTGTTTTTAAGTTTCCTACGATTCCTTGCTTCTTTTTCGCATGACACGTGTGGCTGTTGATCACAGGTCGCCAGAAAACTAGTCATGATGGAACAGGATCTCGAGCGAGCCGAGGAGAAGGCGGAACTGTCGGAAGGGTAGGTGGTTCAGTTTGTGCATGAGCCGGTTCCCGTAATCGTTCTTTCACCAACTTATCCTTGCCTGGCGCGGACGAACACTGGTCCCCGAATAACCGCCACGAAGGATTCGGCGAAATTTTAAGAAATTATGTTGCGAGAATTATTTCTTTGCTTTGAAGAAGAGATCTATAATTTTTCTATTTAAATAGCGTAATTTCCCAAAATGGCAACATTTATTTTAAATCGGTCAAAATAGTAGTATACTAAATTATATATTATTTAAATTTTAAAAGTTTAATCCCAAGCAGATTGAAATTTCAAACAAATCCATGAGTTTCACTTGTCATTGATAGATTGTGTGGATTTTTATGCAAAATAAAAATTCTCTTTCCTCTTTTAATAGTTTTAATAAGCTGTATATGATACAAAAATATTCTGGAATTTTTTTAGCGTCTTGAAAGTTTTGTTTTCGATCATTTTTGTCGAAAATGCGTAAAAACCGCAACTTATTCATTAGCGTTTGTTGCGTATTCCTTGTTGCACTTAATTGATCAGCTACCAATTTAGATTAATCGTTGCAATCTGAATAGTCGAGTGCACAGGAAAGTCGGATGAATCATCATTCTAGTCTTACCTGTGCAATTACAAAGCAGTTATTTTAATTGCTAAACGCATCCACGGTCGGAGCGTGCTCGGCGGTTAATTTTAAATACGAGCAAATTTGAATGTTCGACGCGAATGTTGAGATTTAAATGTCGGGTATCGATTATTATTGGTAAATTGGAAATTGGTCTGAACGATTGTACGAAAGGAACGGGGCCAAGTGTTCGTCCCGCAAGAAGAAAACTCGCTCAGGTAGGATCTCAACGTCGGCGGATCGAGATCACGATTCTAACAGTTGGCTCGTTTTGCAGGAAGATCGTCGAGCTGGAGGAGGAACTGCGCGTGGTTGGCAACAACCTGAAATCCCTCGAGGTCTCCGAGGAGAAGGTAAGCGCCACGGACGATTTACAGTACAAAAATATTCTATTCACTTTCTCTTCCTTTCGAATTCACTTTCGACGGAACCGCGACAAATATACGGGAAGACCTACTCGGACATGTTTATCTTCCTTTCATCGGCGCGATGAACCTTCGTCATAATTATTATTCGTATGTATTAATTAGAGAAATTGTGTTTACGAATCGTTTCTGTCAATTAGTCCTACACGAATTCAATAAATTCTATAAATTTCTATAAATTAGCACTACGAGTCCTTTTCTATAAATTTCTATAAATTAGCACTACGAGTCCTTTTTTATAAATTTCTATAAATTAGCACTACGAGTCCTTTTAATCAATTAAATCTTTTTAACAGTTTTTTATATCTGTATGAATTCTTTCGATAAATTATTTCTCTCGATTCTCTTTTACGAATTATTCCAACATGTTAATTCTACAAATGACTTTTACGGATTATAATTATACGTTCATAATTTTTATGAATTCTTCCCACGAATCGATCTCTAAATAATGCACCGAATGACGGAGGTTCGGACACACAGAATGTCACGAAATTAAAGCATTCAGATTTTTGTCTGCGTATTTTGTGATTAGAAAGACGATGTTTCTGTCGTTAAAGTGCGATTATCTGACTTCGTGGCATCCTGTGTGTGCGCGTGTCTTGGTCATATTTGTGGCGAATTTTAAAGCCGATTACGCTCTTGAATAGAATTCATCGTCGGGAAATTAGAATCAGCCTTTAAAATCCGGTCGTTCAATAAATATATTGAATTGAATTGAGAGTACGCATAAATCTGTAGATTCAAAGAATTCTTATTGCACACCCGATATACAGAGTAGCGTATCCGAACGTAATGTACAGATTTCGTAGATTTTTAATAGCGAACCAGTAGATGTATTGGGTTGGGGAATAAGTTCGTAGCGTTTTTATCAAGCAATTCGAAGGCGATTTTCTTTGTTGTTTTCGTTAAGCTCGTGAGGCACCCAGGCTCCCAATTTTTCGGCAAATCCCATTGAACGAAGATGATTGAGAATCGTTTTATGATCGCAGTTCATTTTTTCGGCCAATTCACGACTTGTTTGGCGACCGTCCTCCTTCGAAAGTGCTTTGAGACGCTCTTCGTCGAATTCAGGTCTTCCGCTGCGGGGCGTGTTGTTAACGTCAAAATCGCCATTTTTGAACTTCGCAAACCATTTCCGTGCTGTAGACTCGCCTATGACACCTTCTCCGCATACGTTGCAAATGTCCCGGGCTGCTTCAGCAGCTTTTTGGCCTCGATGAAAAGCGAAGAAGAGAAGGTGTCGAAAATGTTGCTTTTTACCTCCTGGATATTCCATTTCTAAGCCTCGAAAGTAATAAAAACTTAAATTACTCAAAAAGACGATTAGCACAGTTTCGTAGAGCAGAAAGAGCTCTATCGAATGAATATTAAACATTTTGTCAAACAGCAAGAAATCGTTGTAAGATAAAAGAAAATATAAAAACGCTACGAACTTATTCCCCAACCTGATAAATTCGTAGACGCGCGATCTCGCTAGACTGGATCGACGATCGGTGCGATCGAGATGAATAATGGTCACGTTACTGTACATAGGCGAACCAGCGCGAGGAGGAGTACAAGAACCAAATTAAGACCCTTACCACTCGCCTAAAGGAGGTACAGATCCTTAGAGAGTGTTTTTGTTGCACCCTGTTTTCTCTGACCAGCGTGTGATTTGTCGTCGCGAGAACTTAATGAATAATCGTTAACCGCCTGATCACACTCACCCCGCCCACAGAAAAAAAAAATGAAAAGAAACTACACACTCTCATCTTTCTAACCGACATGTCTGTCTTCTCTTTACTCTTCTCTTCTCTCCTCCCTAATGTGTTTCTTTTTCATTTTTTTGTAATCCTAACGTGAGCTCGTTTTTTTCTCTTTTTTTACGCTTGACTAAAAATAGGCGACGCAAAGAGAGGAGATTTACGTGGGACAGGTGAAGATACTGGATAGTCAATTGAAGGAGGTAAGTGCAACGGTAGTTTCAGTCGCGAAAAGAAGTTGAAATTGAGTTTTTAAAAGAAAATTCGTAAAAGCAAAGTCCGAACACTCGATTCGTTTTGTTCGTTCATTCGTCTTTCAAATTCGTTTCTCGTTTCGATCACGACGCCGCAAATTAACCCTTTGCACTCGAGCGGCGATTCTGAGGCGCCACTACAAATTGTTATATTATTTTTCAAAATAACTGTAACAGTATCAGACTCGTTTATATCTAAAGGACTGTTAAAATTGCAAGTTTTGTACTTGCCGGATAAGCTTCCATACGCATAAATCGCAATGAATCGTATAAAACAGAGACATTGTAGATCAGAAAATATGTTTAAAATATAATTAAAATAGCTTCGAGTGCAAATGGTTAAGTCGCATCGCTGTATAATTGTTGGCGGCTTAGTCGAGGACTACGCACCTCTTTTGTACAGTTTCCTCTCGTATTTCGCACATCGTTCACGTCTCGGTCACGATACTATCGCACATTACGCACGAGTGTTAAAGATAATTGCGGGAGTAATGCTCTTAATTGGTACATAATGCTGAAGATGATTAATCTCGGCCGGGGAATTGAAGGATTTTGATCTCGTTCGAGCTCGCGATCACGAGGTACAGTTACAGTTACATTGTTTTTGTGGACAAAAAGATCGTATAACGTGTGCAATCGACTAACGTGTTCGTTTCTAAAATGAAAATCAAAGCATGGAGTGAGCCTTACTAAACGAAATAATCGGAAAGAGTTTACTAATAAGAATTTTCTAAAAAAAAAAAAAAAAAGAAAAAGATACTGATTCCGTCGATTTTAAAAGAATCAATCCCATTGGACTGTTATTAATTTCTGACTTACGTATGCGTAATACGTTCTGTAAACGATCAACAACGGACTGCAGTTTCTACGCGCAGATTTGCCTCGCTTTTGTTTCACGTTCTCCACCGACTGAACGCGAGAAATCTCTGTAAAATTTCAATCTCCGTCGAATGTCGCGACGGTGCGTAAAAATCTGCAGTCCGAAATGTTAGCAAACGTGTGCATGCATGAGAGACAATCTCGTAGACGTAGACGCACAGAATTTTAAAATCGACGACAAATCACATCGGACTCCGCGACTCTGTCCACGTATATTAATACACTTTCTGTGCTGCAGGCTGAAGCTCGTGCTGAGTTCGCGGAAAGATCCGTGCAGAAACTCCAGAAGGAGGTCGACAGGCTCGAAGGTGCGTATTCAGACAGCATTATACACGTTCGATACGTTTCTCGTTACGTTACCGAAACTCGATCACACGGTTCTCTTCAGTTTTTATTCGTTCCGTAGCCGTGGAACAACCTAGATTAGAAACACGTTCGATCTCCTGACAGTAGAATTTCTGCGATTTAAGTTCGAAAAAAGAGAGAGAGAGAGTGGGAGAACTGCAAATTGAGAATCATTGATCGAAGGAGGCGAAGTATGAACGTCGGAACATTAGGACGATGATGGTAGAAAATCGTCGACGATCATTTAACATTTATTATCAGGAACATCGAGTTCGTAGGCAGATGTGGATTTATCTGGCGATTTTAGAATGACGAATTATTCAAATTGTAGACGACAGTCGATATTTAAGATTGTTATTCGAAATTCTTTGGTAATTTATTCCGTGATCGATTCCGATTAAACTGCGAACATTTATGCGTTTAAAATGTTCACGACTTCGTGAGATATTATTTCCTATTAAAGAAAGTTAATAGGAAATAAAATAATAAAATAGAAAAAGAATAATAGAAAATAATAGAATAGAAAAAGAAGAATAGAAAATAATAGAATAGAAAAAGAAGAATAGAAAATAATAGAATAGAAAAAGAAGGATAGAAAATAATAGAATAGAAAATAAAAGAATAGAAAATAAAAGATTAGAAAAAAAAATAGAAAATAATAGAAATTTCGTATCTTTGTTGGTGCAAGAAACTCTGCCACGTTAATTCTTTGCAAATCGTTTAGTAATAGATATCATCTATTGTAAGGTGATATCGCCGACCAGGATAAGTATCGCTGTCGTCTGCAAAAAAAAAACCAGCAAAAAACATATTAGAATCTTTCCCAAAAGCCACAGCCCTATAACAATTCTCAAGGGAGCAAAGAACTGTAACAGTTGAAAAAGTAGCCACATTTTTACGGGAATCTTTTTCGAACAAGCATCACAAGTTGAATCAATACAGTAAATTCTTCCTAATTTTCCATCAGCTTGTAAACAAAAATATAACACTATTTGAGAAGTTGAGATACGATTATTGGAGCCTCGCACCTCGTTTTCGTAATTGTTGACAACAATCGGCAACTATAAAAACGAGCCGCGAGACTCGAATAATCGTGTCTCCTCTCTCCAAATTGTCCATTTTTATTCACAAACTGCAGAAAGATTATGTCGAATTTACCGTACATTGTTCGTTGCAGTTCAAACGCGCCTACGCACCTTACTGCGCAAAAATGTTCAGTCGCGTCACTGTCAACGTCCGATCAATAACGCGCATACTTCGACGAGAAGTATGTGCAGTTAATTAGCAGTTGAATCGGACCGACAATTCTTTTTTGCCGCAGACTCTGCGACAGTCGCCGATTAACTACGATGGTCAATAAAAATCAATTTACTTGCGATTCTCGTTTAAGAAACATTCTAAACCGCTACCGCGCGTTCAGGCTGTTACAAAACCTCCCCCCCCCCAAAAAAAAATCGATCCAACATCGACCACCTCCGAACGAAAACCGCGTGCCGTGTGCGCCACCCCCCACCCCCGTCCACTGATCGACTAACCACCCCGCGGAGTGGATTTTTGCATCGAACACCAGCGTGGCTTGGCGTGTGTGCGCTTTCCTCTAACAAGTAATCTTTCCAGACGACCTCACCGTCGAGAGAGAGAAAAACAAATTGCTCCAGGAGGAGATGGAAGCCACCCTGCATGACATCCAGAACATGTAGATCGTGTTTCGCGGGGCGGACAGAAACACGACTAAAAATAACAGAGATACAGAAAACACACACACGAATCATTGAGAGAGCGAGAGAGAGAGAGAGGAAGAGAGATAGGGAATGAACGAGAGCGAGAGAGAGAGAGAGAAAGAAAGAAAGATCGGGGGGATAGAGAGCGAGAGAACGATAGGATTAACGAAGAAAAGTAAACGGGAAGAGAGGGACGTTCGTAAGAGAGAGAGAGAGGGTGAGAAAGATAAATAGAGCTGAACGGAGATAGCTGGAGGAGAACGACCGCGGAGAAGTAAAATAAATGGCACGGCAATCGCCGTTAGGGAGGAAACGAGAGAGAGGAGCTACGCGGCGCGAGCGCTTCCGTGTGTATGGTGCACATCATCCCCCCATTAACTTCGACGGACAAAACCACACGCAGTCCCTTTTAGGCTAGACTCGCGCGTCTCCCTCCCCTTTCTTATTGTATCAGCAACAAGCCGGTTGCGCATTTCTTCTTCATTTGTATGCTCGTCTGTGTCTGTCTGTTTGCAAGTGTCCTGCTGTGCGTGTCTGTTGCGCGGGTGTGTCTGTTTCTGCGTGCGTGCGTGTGTGTGCTTTTGCGCGAGCGCGTGCGAAAGTGAGGCTGGAACGAGAGACGACGACAACAACGACGACGACGACGACAGGATCGAGAAACGACGGATAAAGCCTGGGACAAGAGATAAACGGAAAGAGAAACAGAGCGCGTTTTCCGTCAAAGGGATACAAAAAGGCTGCTTCTTCCCTTTGCTTTCGAATCGTTTTTCCCTTTATTCTACTGCGTTCGACACACGTCCGGACCGCAGTGGGGTTTTCCTTTTCGCGTATCGACGTTCCCTCGATACGCCGATACGCGAGATTCGCGAGCGAGCGAGCGAGCGTTGGCAAACGCTGGAAACACGATCGATCGATCGGGAGCGTGTACAATCGTCGAGGAGGAATTTCCGAGCGGCTCCGACAGGTATTTGTTGTCGCAAACCTGTACGCTGGGGAATGCACAATTCCGGGAACTTCGTCTTCTTCTGCTTCGACGCGGTTTCAGCCGCGCGTAGCCTGGCCCCGCGACGCTGTTTTCGAAACGTCCGGGGAGCGGAACTCCGAAGGAAGAATCGTCGATCGAAGTACCAACGCGCGTTCACTATAGGCAGACTCGACAGATTTGCGCATTGTCTTTGCGCAGTCATTGTCCGCGGTGTAGCTTGCGTTCGTTTCGTTGTCGGGCCGAGGGTCGTTCTCGCGCGAATTGCTATTTTTTCCGGATCGTTTCGCGAACGCGGGAAACGAAGGAAACAGTTTCTTCGATTACCGCAGGATTTCGCGCGGTGAGAACGAAACGAGAACACAGTTGAAACTGTTCTTTAGAAACAACGCCACTCGAATCCGGCGTTTCATCGAGCGATTTCTCACGGTTGCGTTTTCGCAACCCCGATAATTACGGGGAATGATCAGAAGCAGGTTTAAACTTCTGAACCTAGCACGAGTAATGTCTCCCTTATTGACGCTTAGATCGCGCACAAAAGTGGACGATTCGGGAAGGGGAGACGCGATTAATTTGAGTCTCGCGCCTCGTTCTATAGTTACGAATTATCGACAACTGTAAAAACGAGCCGCGAGGCTCGAATAATCGTATCTCCTCCTCCCAAATTGCCCGATTTCGTGCGCGATCCGCGCGTCAATTAGAGAGACATTGCTGTATTTTTAACGCAAGTTGTTCGTTCCATAAACGCGCGAAGATCCACATTCTTACGAAACTGAAAATTCTACGATTTTACAAGTCTCTCAACGATTCTTCTAGAGGCTGATTCATAATTAATGACGCTCGCGATGGCTTCCATCGGAAGCCAGCGATGTATGAAATCGCGAAGTATATGCTACATTGCTTCGTTTTCGCGAAGAAATTTCTTCTCGACGGAACTCGCGCGGCTCGCGGGGATTCTTTCTTCTTCCATAAACGATTCCACGTTCTTTCATCGTTGACATTATTCCATTTTTCGTTTATTTTTTTTTTTACATATGAAAAGAAAACTATGAGTAACGACACTCACTGCCAACATTCCTAGGTAGAAGATAATCCGATCGCTTCGGTAGAATAAAGTATTTAGGGGATAGCTGAATCGTGTTAGCCCGCCGCAGCCTAAAGATTCATTGGCAACGCTGACCAGCGACGTCCTTCGACGAATTTTTGTACATTTCTATTCTAAATTGTGGTGGACGAGAGCTCCAAGAGACGGGGTTCGATGGAGACGGGCACGCCGTTCGATTCTTCCCGAAGGAACAAATGTAATCGGAACCGTGGAAAGACGACTGTTCGTACGAGTTCGCGTCTCCTAGGTAGATCGCGATCGAAGGGCGCGTGATCCGTAGATCGGCCGAGCATATTTAGCCGCGATCACAGTAAATTCTTCCAAATTGTTCCTCGGCTTTGCTGTGCAAAATCAAATTGAAATAAAAGTCGTTACATGTGGAATTTTATAGGAATTTACAAATAAAAGATTTTCTGTTCTTATTCGCGCGTTTTACACGATCACCTTAAAGTACGAAAAGGAACAATAATAATTAACGCTAAACCTACCGAGCATTAAACGTGACGAATGTGTGCGTCGCTCTGCAAGAACAAGACTGAATTTATTCAGACATTCCACAATATTTATTACAATGAATCAGCGACCCCCCCTCCCCCAATGTGTCCCACAGCTTGTAAGCAAAAATGGACAGTTTGGAGAGGGGGGACACGTTCGTTCGAGTCTCGCGGCTCGTTTTTATAGTTGTTGACAATCGGCGATTAGAGAAACGAGCCGCGCGGCTCGACCAATCGTACCTCCGTTTCCCGGATCGTCCACTTTTGTTTACGTTAAGCCGAGCAACGTTTTCGGAGAATTTGCTGTCCCTCGAAGACGGGACCTCGTTCGAGAAACATTCGCGCGTCCGACCTGGTTTCGCGAGGAATCGTTCGCGCCCGGTTCGAACCCCGTGTTTTAGGCGACTGCTCTGCATTTAGCGGGACGAGGACCGTTTTGGCAGACGGCCTCGACAGCGTCTCGCCTCGATCGGCCCTCGATCGGGGGGATCCGCGATCGCGGAACACATTCCCGGCCGCGTCGGCGCGCCTGCATTTAACGATCAATCGACTCCGAGAGGCGGACGAGCGAATCGACGTTCGAGAATCGTGCCTGTACATATTTATTCTAGGTGTAATCGAGCGGGGAACGCGATTGTCGCGCGCGTTCGAGCCGTCGAAACAGAGAAACCGGGCTGAACGAATCGACGTACGAAAAGAGAGGAGTGAAGAGACAGAGGGGGGAAGAAACACACGGCGATTCGATTCCGCGACGCGTAACACTTGTTCGGATCCATTGTCGCCGCCGTTGATCCGCGATCTCTTCTTAACGGCGCGACGACAAAAACTCTTTTCTGCTGTTCGTCGCTCGCGAGACGAAGCGTGCGGAAACTGCCCCGGACCGTTCTAAAAAAAAAAAAAACGCGGTTCGGAACACTCGACGATCCTCGTCGGCGCGACTTTTCACGCGGCGCGCACCCTCCGCGGATGTCTTTTTCAAGTATGTTCGCCGTTTCGCGGTTTTTCATTGTCGGAGGAGGCTGCTGCAACGAGGAGCGACTCCGCTTCGGCGACCGGAAGCCGATCGAACGATCGCGCGCTGTTCCGAAACAGCTACGAATTCACAGTCGAGACGGCGAACCAGTTCTAAAAAAACTGTCGCGGTTACAGTCGATGGCGTTAGAAAGGTCGACTACAATCGTGTCCCGCATTCTTCATTCGAAAGAAGAGCGTGCGTTTGTCCCCCGTTGCCGCGAGCCCTTCGACGCGTGCAATACTTGATGCAGTTTCTGTTTCGTCGTGTCGCGCATTCGTCGGAAAAATTGATTTTTGGATCGAACGGCTTCCGAAAGACACCCGAGGCAGATCGTCGTGACCTCCGCAAGCATTACGACCGAATCGATGAGAAAGCACAATAATTAAAGGATTATCTCCACGCGTCCTATACCGTTAACGAATATAACGATTTTTGTTATTCCGATTTTTCACCGGAGAATAATGGCTGAGAGAGAAAGAGAGGGTGTGACAGAGAGGGAGAGAGAGATAGAGAGATAGAGAGAACGTAAGAAAATTTCTGTGCATGTGTCTGAAAGAAAGAGAGAGAGAGAGAGAGGGTGAGAGTGGAAAGAGTAATAAAGATAAACAGAGGAAACGCAGATACTTGAGTTCACGAGACAGTTTTAGTTTATTAATTTACTTAATATTAATAAAAACGAATGGAACGATAATAACACTAATATCATTGTAATGATAATGATTATTATATATATTGCTATTATTATAAAACTGTTTATAATATATATTTTAATTTTGAAAAAATCAGTGTGTCGTTTTGTTTTCTTTTTGTTGTTACGTTGTTTTCTTTTCTCCATCAGCTGTACCAACAAGCTAACTTTAATCCCCGCCCCTCTGCTACCACCACCCCGCCGCCCCCCCACCCCAAAAGAACCACCCATCTATATCGAACGTTAACAAATGACTGCCAAAACGCGTTGCCACGCGAATAACACCGCTGCGTTGTGTTAGAAAGTCGTGTGTAGTTGTTGCATGCCCCGTACAACACCGAGGAGACCGGCCTGTGGTACGTATCGATACGGAACAACGGTGAGTAAAGTTGCTTGTTCTTTTTTCTCTTGGCTATTTTCACCGGGGACTTAACACCTAATCGCCTCGTATGACTCCGTCCGCTTCCGGTGTTTCGTTCTCCGATCCTCGTTATCTTTATTTTTTTCACACGGACAGTTAGCTGTCCACTTCACTTACTGTTCCATGCTGGACAAATTCTACGAACAGCGTGCACGGGACATGGAGCAGCAAACAAGCGGATAATTTTTGTTCTCGAGGCCGCCGAGAGAGAGAGATTGATCATCGTCAGCCGAAACGACGCTGCTCGAACTTTCTTTAATGACAGAGCTACAAAAAGCGTCGGAATTATTTCTGTCTCGAGGTCGCGGTATCTAGATCAGCGAATAATTCAACGAACGCGCTCCGCTCGGATTAATTCAGATGTAACAGATTTTCGGCTGCTCTCGGCGCGCAAAACGGAAATGACCGACGGTGATTTGAACGCACGGCGCAGAACACCGGCACAAACAACCAGGTCTCGAGAAACGGAATTATCAGAGCTTCGCTATCGCTGCCCCGAGTCCTGCGGCACCGTTCTCGATGAAAAATAGAAAAGCCGAAGCATTCGAGTATTCTCTCAGGTGTTACGAAGGAGTCCTAGTTTCCGTAAGAAATTGAAGTCGATAGAATCTCGGCTCTCCCATTTTATGCTTCTCTCGACGCGCACCGCCAATTAGGCAGTCAGAACTCCATAGAGCATCGCATGAAACAGATAAATAGCATAGCCTAATTGTACGAGTAATTGTAGACTTCGTGCTCCTGTCGGTCAACACGGATGTTAGCGAATTACCGAGTAGAGGAATCAACGTACCGGGCACAATGGAGATAACCAGCTACAGTAATGTCTCTCTAATTGACGCCCAGATTGACCACAAAAATGGACAATTTAGGGAGAGGAGATACGATTTTATTTGACCTTGTGATTCATTTTTATAGTCACGAATTGTCAGCAACTATAAAAATGAACTGCGAGGCTCGAATAATCGTGTCTCCTCTCCCCAAATTGTACATTTTTGTGGAGCGTCAATTAGAGAGACATTACTGTGTCTAGAAAGTACAGTAATGTCTTTCTAATTGACGCCCAGATTGACCACAGAAGTGGACAATTTGGGAAGAGGAGATACGATTATTCGAGTCTTGACATAACCTTGACATAACCTTGACAATTCGTAACTATAAAAAACGAGCTACAAGGCTCGAATAATCGTATCTTCTCTTCCAAAATTGTCTATTTTTGTGGATAAACTGAGCGTCAATTAGAGAGACATTACTGTATCTAGAAAGTACAGTAATACCTCTCTAATTGACGCCCAGATTGACCACAAAAATGGACAATTTAGGGAGAAGAGGGACTATTATTCGAGCCTTGCGGTTTATTTTTATAGTTATAAATTGTCCACGATTATAAAAACGAGCCGCAAGGCTCGAATANCTACAAGGCTCGAATAATCGTATCTTCTCTTCCAAAATTGTCTATTTTTGTGGATAAACTGAGCGTCAATTAGAGAGACATTACTGTATCTAGAAAGTACAGTAATACCTCTCTAATTGACGCCCAGATTGACCACAAAAATGGACAATTTAGGGAGAGGAAATACGATTATTCGAACCTCGCGGTTTATTTTTATACTTATAAATTGTCCACAATTATATAAAAAAGGGGCCGCAAGACCCGAATAATCGTATCTCCTCTTCCCAAATTGTCCATTTTAGTGGACAATCTGAGCGTCAGTAATCCAACCAACTGTCTGAAATTAGATCGACAGATCCGTTAGGATGTTTTAGAATACCTTGAATTATTTTTAATCGTTTGACGGACAGT